TCATTCCATGAACACACTGAAACTGGTAAGTAAATTAGAGCTGCACATTAAAAACAGAGGGGAAAAAAGCCAGCCTGTTATCCAAAAAGCCAATAAATAACCTACAAATCTCACCTGAGTCCACAGTGGGACTCCATGATTTGAAAGGTCTTTTCCAACTTTAACAATTCTGTAATTTACAGTCACTATTAAAAAAGTTAAAGGGTGTTCAAAGACCAAAAAAGTCCCTGCACAGATGTCCACCTGCCAAGAGCTTTTCATGATGGTACAACTACTCACAGCTCTCCTAACTCACACCATCCTCAAGGGCCTGAGACAATCCTTCCCTAACAGCACTGCTCAGGCAGGACAGAACCTCATCACAAACTCTGTACTGACACCCTGACACGGGCACTGAGAGGAGATGAAAGAATCAAGGACAGCAAAACTGCACTGAGGAACAACACATGAAAAGCACCCTGTGACCTCCCCTGCAGGTACCTCACCCACCTGCCCCTCTGCCCATGGCTGCCCATAAATGAGAGTTTAAACTTGCTTGATTTCAGGAATCCATGTGAGGCTGTTTTAAATGCAGTTAAGATGTCACTGACAGCTTTCATCTGGTTTTTTTATCTTTATTGCCCTGTTTAATCTATACACTTCATTGGTTCTGTCTGTAAATAGAGGCCAGAAGCAATCCTGGCTTGAATACAGGTTCTCACGTGCTCAATGACCAGGCTGACTGAGCATGGACCTGCTCCACCTGCCATGGAAAACAACAACAAAGAGAAAACCAGGGACCTGATGGATTACTTGTTTCAGTGTCCCTGTCAGAGGAAACCACACCACACAGTTCTTTCCATGAGCTGACTAAACACCACTTTAAGGTTTTAAAAATTATTTTAAAACCTTGTTTCTCTGTCACAAACCTTGGCATTCACATCCCACTCAGAATTGATAGAGCTTCACACCAACACAGTGCATGCCCTGCTATACCTTCATTTCCACCTTCCTGAGTCTTATTGTACAGGTTTCCTTAAGCCTAGCTGAAACTCCAGGGGCTGTGCTGCCCTTCAGAAGGACTCACCAGGTTGGAGATGGGCAGGGAAGAACCACCTGAAGTTCAACAAGGGCAATGCAGGTCCTGCCCCTGGGGAGGAACAGCCCCAAGTACCAGCACAGGCAGGGGTGCCTGCTGGAGCATCTCTGCAGGGAGGACCTGGGGGTCCCATGGTCTCTGAGCTGTCCTGGAGCCAGCAGAGTGTCCTGGGGGCCAGGGGGCCCTGGGGTGCACTGGGAGGAGCACTGGCAGCAGGTCAGGGAGTGACCCTGCCCCTGTGTCCCTCTGCCCAGCCCTGGGGGGCACAGCTGAGTGCTGTGTCCAGCCCTGGGCTCCTGGGGCAGGGCCAGGGGAGGCTGCAGAGGTGAGGAAGGGCCTGGAGCATCTCTCTGCCCAGGAGAGGCTGAGGAAGGTGGGGCTGGGAGACAGGACCAGATGATGCAGTGTGGTCCCCTCCAACCTGACCCATTCTGGGATTCCTGGCAGAAAACTCAGCTCAAATGCACTCTGACCTTCAAGAGACAGAGCATGGCACTGAAGGTCACAGCTTAAAACCCAAGTAAAACACATTGCTCTGCCCCCACATACCCATCTCTCATGCACTCACTGTTTTCTTTCTTTCCCTCTCCTCCAAATCAAAATCTCAAGTGTTCCCCCTCTTCAAAGACCAAGCATAGCTCTGCACCATGCCCAGATCATTGCAGATAATGCTCTTTTTTAATAAATCAGGGATTTTCCACAGTATTTATATCCCTCAGGTAAAAATTAGGCAAAAATGTAGAAGCTTTGTGTCTCACCTGCCACAGTGGAGTGTTGAGCTGATGAATAACCACATTCATTTGGTTGTTCCTTGCAAAGGCCACGATAGCATCATTGCCAGCAAAAGTACCAGGCTTGGCCAAATTGGCAACTAAAGGAAAAAACATTCACAAGAGTTGGAACCTAATTTCTGCTACTTCCAAAAGCAGTGGAGGGATGATGAGGGGTGAGATTTCAACACGAGCCCAAGAAATTCTGGAAGGGAAATCCCACCTGTGAAACAAGAACTTGGCTGCAACATGAGGTGATGCATTTAAAGGACCACAGAAATCTCTAAAAAAGGCACTCCATCCTTAGACAAAGGAAGGCCTCAGAAGGAGGAGTGCCATGTACTGCATGACCAAATTACCTTTGTGCATCACCTCCATGGCACATCAAGGGCTGTATTTGTCTCTGGTTTGGAGACAAATACACAAATTTGTCTCCTCACTTCCCAGGAGGAAATACTGAGTGCCAAGGAGAAAGAAACCCAAAGAAATCAGCCACTCACCAAAATAGCCAAATACCCACCAGTATTCAAGGAGAACGAGACAATTTTTCTCAAGTTCCTTTTGAAAACACCCAATTTTTACTCCTCGCCTTTTTAGTCTCTTTACTTCTCCAAGTTTCTCCTAAATTTAAATAATGTCCAGGACAAATTCAATGAGGATTAACACAATTTTTACTCCTCGCCTTTTTGGTCTCTCTCTCCTTCTCCAAGTTTCTCCCAAATTTAAATAACATCCAGGACAAATTCAATGAGGATTAACACAATTTTTACTCCTCGCCTTTTTAGTCTCTCTCTCCTTCTCCAAGTTTCTCCCAAATTTAAATAATACCCAGGACAAATTCAATGAGGATTAACACAATTTTTACTCCTCGCCTTTTTAATCTCTCCTTCCTTCTCTAAGTTTCTCCTAAATTTAAATAATATCCAGGACAAATTCAATGAGGATTAACACAATTTTTACTCCTGGCCTTTTTGGTCTCTCTTCTCCAAGTTCCTCCTAAATTTAAATAATGTCCAGAACAAATTCAGTGAGGATTCCCACAGCACCACAACAGCCCTAAACAAAAAGCCCCTGTTTCTAAAAACTAGAGAGGAGCTCTAAGGTAGTTCTGGGAGGGGGAACTGCTTAGTAAGGAGCTGCAGGACACAAGGATGCCTCCAGGGAGCCCATACCGTGCTTGTCAAAGGGCACATCGTCCTCCACGAAGGGCTCGAAGTCGGCGCGCTGCTGCACCATGAACTGCACGGTCTCCTGGCGGTGGCGCAGGTGGTTGCGGGAGTGCCCCTCCAGCTGATCCCCCAGCGCCCGGAACAAGCAGTTCCTGCAGGGAGGGAGTGAGGGGAGAGAGTGCCTGGGGCAGCAGAAGGAATACGGGGCACAGGGAAAGGGGCTGTGCTCATTCTGCCCCGTTTAGCGAGGCTGTGAATGCAGAGGAGTGCTCGCTCCCTGTGCCTTCAATGGCTGGGTCTGAGTGATCGTGTCACTGTAAAACTGCTGGGCCCAACTGTCCCACCCTGACACCAGACAAGGGACATAAAGCACCAAAGCACAAACAAATGCCCCACTGAGCAACTACTCAGCAGGAACGTTTGCTACTTTTTCACCTTCTAGAAAAGAAGGGGGTGAAAGTATTCCATGAGAACATTTATGGCCTGTGACCGTGTTCACAGGGGTTTGAGGATGAGGGAAGAGATGAGGATCTGACTCCATGTTTCAGAAGGCCTGATTTATTATTTTATGATACATGTTATATTAAAACTATACTAAAAGAATAGAAGGAAGGATTTCATCAGAAGGCTGGCTAAGAATAGAAAAAGAAAGAATGATAA